ATGTATTCTATCGGCTTCTTCCCTTCTCTTCGGTGTCTCCCATGAGGACGTTTTCACGTACGTGCAGCTCTCGGTCTCTCTAGTCTAAATCGATCGCTCCCTGTCATCTCCCGTAGTCGACGACGATCGTTCCAGCCGACAACGTCTAATCCCATAGACGACGGCGCATTTCCCCCAGTCGTCTCCCGTAGATAACGACACTTCTTCTTCGAAGTCGTCTCCTCGCTCGCTCCATACGAAGCGACTGGTACTCTACTGCCCGACAGACAGTGCTCGAACCTGCTCGCGTGAAGCACGCTAATGGCCTCAGGGCTTTCCTACGTCGCCGCCCTCACTGGCGATAATGCTGCCAAACCCTCCGATGCTACAGTAGTCCACAAACGCAGATCCCCTTTTCACCTTTCAGATAGTCTGATGTACCCGCAGACGTACCATGATTCTGTTACAGGACATGGAGATTGCAATCTCATCAAAAAAGTAAATGAAAAGACGGGTAAACCAGCACTATTCTTCTCTAAAGCTGGAATTTCAACTCGTGCAGGAAAGATGCAGGCACAGATCTGTCATTTTTAAGGAAATAAAACACAAAGGTACTTAAAAGACAGCACTGCATGATACGGGAGTTAACCCAAAATAGCAACAGGGATACAAATATTATTGCAAAAAAATCAAAAGGATTACAATAACGACTCTTAAAACAGGAGCAAAATGACAACAAACGCCAACAACTCCTAGAGTGACGACGATAGAGTGGTGTGTTGCGGCTGGGCAGCACATAGGTCGGCTGGTTGGGGATGCGGCAGCAAACAGTAGAGGGTTGGGGAGGTTACGACAACACTAGGAAGGCTCGAGGAGACTGGCAGCAGCAAACAACAAGGCTAATCGAGTTGGCGGCAGCATGCAAGAAGGCTGGCGAGGTTTGGTGGCAGCGAGTAGGAAGGTGGAAGGGGCTTGCGACATCAGGGGGAAGACGTCGACTAAAGAAAATATTTAGTAAAAATTGAACCATAATGACATAAAATTATATACCTAATGGCATCGGCAGCGGTAGGCTCTGCTAGGGTTTCGCACGTGGCGATGCCCGGCAGTGAATCTATCGGCTTCTTCCCTTCTCTTCGGCGTCTCCCACGAGGACGTTATCACGTACGTGCAGCTCTCGGTCTCTCTAGTCGAAATCGATCGCTCCTGTCGTCTCCCGTAGTCGACGACGATCGCTCCAGCCGACCACGTCTGATCCCATAGACGACAGCGCATTTCTCGCAGTCGTCTCCCGTAGATAACGATACTTCTTCTTTGAAGTCGTCTCCTCGCTCGCTCCATACGAAGCGACTGGTGCTCTACTACCCGACAGACAGTGCTCGAACCTGCTCGCGTGAAGCACGCTAATGGCCTCAGGGCTTTCCTCCGTCGTCGCCCTCGCTGGTGATCTTCTAACATTTTCTTGTACTTCTCAACTGCCTATAACCATTCGATGAAATCATTCGGATCCATAATAGTGCCACCTCTTTTGGTCTCCTTTGATATTGAATTTCGCAGTGTAAGGGCTTATCTTTCTCATCACTAAAGTCCTCTCTATGGAAAGGATTCAGTTCTTCATCCCTTTTTTCTCTTCGGTTCTCCATGTCATCGTCGAGGGTATTCTCTCCGTGGGTGTCGTCTTCAATTTTAGCAAGTCTCTACAAAAGTCTATTGGATCTCTTGTTGTATCGCTTCCCAGGGAGATTTCGGGATGTGTCTCCTAGGCAGCATGCTTAGAGTTTGGAGAAATACAACTAACAAAGCCTTAATCCCACTATGTGTGGGGTCGGCTACATGAATCTTTTTTCCATTGCGTTCTATTTAGTGTCATATCTCTTGGAAACTTATCGTAAGCTTTTTCTAAATCAATAAAAATCAAATGTAGATTTTCCTTATTATCTTTGAACTTCTCCATCAAACTTCTCAATAAATGTATAGCTTCCACAGTAGACCTGCCCGGCATAAATCCAAATTGATTATGAGAAATTTTTGTAATACGTCTTAACATATGTTCAATTACTCTCTCCCATAATTTTAAAGTATGACACACCAACTTATTTTCTCTATAATTCTTGTGCATCCCCTTTATTCTATCCCCTTTATTCTAAAAAATGGGGACTAAAATACTCTTCCTCCACTCCTCAAGCATCTTTTTAGTTTTTGAAATAATATTAAAGACTTTAGTAAGCCAAAAAGCTCCCAAATCTCATAAACATTTCCATACTTAAATTGGGATATCATCAGGGCCTACAGACTTCCACCTTTGGTTTTCTTTAAAGCCTCCTCAACTTCATTTTTACTAATGCGACGGTAAAAATGAAATGTTTAATTATTACTAACGATATTAAGATCACTAAGGTCGATTGTATTTTCAGAAACTTCATTAAAAACTTAAATCATTACGTTTCTTTCTCTTTGTTTGGCTAGTCTATACATATATATTTCACCCTCCTTAATATTTAATCTATTATAGAGATCATTAAAAGCAAAATTTTTAGCCTCACATATTTTTCTTTTAGACACCTTGCGGACCGTTTGATATTTTTCCCAGTGCAGTTAGTTTGGATATGGTGGATGTTAGGAAACCCTAACTATGGATAGACTTAGCTATGATACCAATTAATACCTGCGAAAGAGAAGCAAATATTATTGCTAAAAAATTAGAAGGGTTACAACGGCTCTTAAAACAGGAACAAAACAACAACAAACACCAACGACCCCTAGGGCAAAAAGATGAAAGAGAGGTAGTTTGCAGATGGACAGCAAATAGGTTGGTTGGTTGGGGGTGTGGCAACCAACAATAGAGGGCTGGAATAATTGCGGCAACAGTAAGAAGGATCGAGGGGAATGGCGGCAACAAACAGGTAGGCTGGTGGAGTTTGACGACAGCAAGCGGGAAGGTTGGCAGGGTTTGGTAGTAGCAGGCAGGAAGGTTGAGGGGACTGCAACAAACTACAGGAAGGTGGGATGGGTCTAGTGGCAGCAGTGGAAGGGGAGAGGGGATTGCAGCAGCAAGCTGGAAAGTTTGAGGGACTGGCGGCAGAAAATTGGGATGGATAGGAGAAAAAAATCTGGATGAATCGCCACCTCGAAGCAGGATACAATCAAAATATCACATTTTAGATACAGCCCTAACATCAGGGAAGACGCCAACGGTAAAAAATCTAAAAAGCAAAAAATGAACCCTAATAACATAAAATAATATATGTATAGTAGATAACTAGGAATGGCTCCCCTAGGGTGGCAGCCTCGAACATGAGCCGGCCGGCCCTGCCATACCTTGGCTGAACCTGTTTCACTGTTATCCAGCAGGTTCAGCCCTCCAGGGAGCCCCGCATCACTGCATATTCATAAGAGTTCACATATTTCTGCTGCACGTGTCAGATCACAGAATAAAGATCCTACTCTAATTACAAGACTATCAATGTAGAAAGAGAATTTTAGGAGGAAAAGTGATGAAGCATCATATCTACAGGAAGTAGTAAACAATTCATAAAAACCACTAACAGAAGAATATATGAAGCTGGTATCTGCAAGAATAACTGGTAACTGTCATCACCTCGAATCGAATGGCTGTTCCTGCTGGTATATTTAATCTCATCCCATAAGCTTTTCTTCTATCGAAAAATAAATATGGGTTCACTTCAATAAAATGATAATGACTCCCAACCTGCAAAAAATAAAGTTAAATGGCTATGGTACTTGAAAGATATAATAACAGTGCCTTCTCCGGTTTCTAGTCCATTGCACCAATTGAAAATCATTTAGTTTGACTTTTACTGTTTTTTTTTTCGTAAAAGCAAATATGAGATATATCCTCAGTGTACTGCAGTTTCCGGAAAAAAACTGTCAAGTATTTTAGACTACTGATTCAAGATCACGGTATGGCCACTCTAGTTTCAAAGCTATGAAGTTAGGATAGGATCCTGAAGAAATTAATTTAACATTTCTATTGAACATTGAACAATTTAGAAAAGTGAATATTACCAACAATGCGAAGTTGGCTACTAATGGCAAAATGACATTAAGAAAATGATCATTGAACTGGAAGATTGAATAGGAACTCCGACGTCAGGGTTAACAAGCATGGATTTGCAAGAAAAATTTAGTTTGGAACAAAATAAAAAGCATAGATTTACAGAACAAGAAAAACCGAAGCAAGGAGGTGGAGGGTTCCCAAACCATCAATCCTGCTACTCAAACAACTAAAAAAACATGTCCCAAACTCTAGCAACATAAAAAAAAATTTTAAAAAAATATATCATATAAAAGAGAACACAATTTACAAAGTCAATCCATATTTTAGCTTCTGCAACACGTTAACCTTAAAAATAAAATCAAACTGTATAAATGAGGGAAAAAAAATTGGTCTTCTCCACCCAACAATTCTATCATTCTAAAAATTAACCTAATTGCATTTTGCACCCAAAAAATAAAAAAATGAAAAAAAACAGGGATTTTTACTGCTATACCCCTTACAAACTTTTTTGTTATTGATAGACTACCAACTTTTTCAATATTAATGGTATATCACACCATGCATTTAACCAAACAATTCATGTAACCCAAACCAATACATCACTCCAACAAAATGTTTATTAAGAAGACGAAAGATTTCATTAATATAAGATAAAATTTCATTGATTGATTTTAGAAAGAAAAAAATTTAAATTAGACTCAAATAAAAATTCTCATTTTTAATTATATCAAAATATAAAGAAGTCTTAATGGATAAAATAATGTTAATCCTAATAAAAAAATGATTAAAAAATCAATTGATAAAAATATTTAAAATATATTTAAATCGGTTGGCTATAAACTAAAAAGCTAACATGTATTAATTTTTTAAAATTTATTAGAAATCAGCAAATCCTAAAAAATAAATAAACTAATTTTACAAATGGACTAAAAACACATTACTTAAACAGAAATGATATGTCTAAATATTAGAAGATAATAAGGGTTTAATAGAAAACAAAAATAAATAAATAAATGTTACAAATTAAAATATAAAAACATAATTCTTGTTTTGCGAAATTTTCTTCACAATATAGTTTATTTTAGTTAATCAAGCAAAGATATTTTAATATTTTAATTTTGTTCATATTTGAAGGGTGGCCACATTAAATATTTTTAAAATTTTTAAACAATAAAATTTATTTTTAATCCGTATTTGTTATAAATGAACATGAAGAATTAGCCAAGTTTCAACCATTATGATTATATTAATAAATCTTTTGTGCAATGTATATGAGAATTTTATATGATTTTCACATAAATTTATTATTTCATAAAATTGTTGACAAGCACAGAAAGTTGGTGAAGTAGTTCATTCCAATATTTGTGCAAAATTTATACAAACTTACGAAGATTCTAATAGGATTTATACAAAATCAGAGGCTGAAAAGTAACAACAGATTTAATTATAATGGAGCAGCCATAGTTATTTCCTTGTACAATTGAGCGGCACACATGGATCGGTGAGGTGGTAGCAAGGACCGCATGGATTCATGAGGCACCGGTGTTGTGAGTTTAGGAAGCAAAAAAACATGCAAAATCTGGGAAAGAATTCAGGCCAACAATAGAAGATTGGAGACAAGGGGCAAAATCTTGGGTGAATCCATGCGGATGTTAGTGAGATTTCGTTTTCATACTATCTTTCAACCAATTGAACAAATGAAATCCATTTAAAACGAATCCAAAAAATTTTGAAAGACTACCTTTATTATATCTTTGGTGAGAATGACTGCAAGCTATTCAATTATGATTAGAACACCGTATAAATTAGACTATTCACAATCGTTTCCTTTATAAATCTTGAATAACTTCAAAATGTTTTCAATGATCATGTTGCATGAGATTATATGTAGTATTAATGGTAAACTTGTAATCATAATACAACCACATAGGATCTATCCATTTGATCTTTAAATCTTTGAAGATAATTATTAATCATAGGAATTTACCAGTTCTCGAAGTCATTGATCTAAACCTGTCTTATGCCTATATTTTATTTTGTACTTCCCCCAAATCATAGGGTCATCCCTTAAGAATGTGCAAGAACCTAAAGTTCACCTCCTCTCAACGAGAGATGTCACACAATTTTTATTTGTTATGCTTCAACAATCAAATCATTCCCTCTATCAAATAGAATTCTTTTACCTAAGGTTCCCTTAAAATATTTTAGAATTTTATGCATTGCCTTAAAATCTGTTTTTTATTATTGTGCATAAATTAACTCACCCAATCCATTACATAGGTAATATTAATTCTAATATATGATAAAAAGACGAGTCTTCCCTCAAACCTTAAAAGGAAATTTCTTCTATTATTATCATCTAAAGCATATATATGTTCATCTATATATCTATTTTATAAAACGGTGTGAGCAAACAAGGTGAAAATGATAGCGATCGAATGCGTCGTGCAAATAGAGTCTACGCTTTGACAGACACTAAAGCAGTCCCAAACAACTCCCATTCATGAAACAGACCGTACGAACGTATCCAAGACATCGAAATTACCTAAGACTATATCTTTTATTATCAAAATGAGCAAACATGATGAAAATTGACTAGTTAACGGCGTGACGCCGTGATTTAGACTCCAAATTAATTAAATGCCAGACGAAGTTGCTCAAACAATGATCGATTGTGAAATCAACAGCACAAGCACATCCTAGAAATTAAATTTACCCAAAGAAGATGTTCGTTAAAGTTCAGCGTTTCAGCGTTCGATAATAACACAAAATTTTACACGAGGAATGAGAAAATATTCAAGAAAAAAATACATACAAATAAATACAGGTTGAAGCATAAATGTCAATCATGGTCAATTTGGATTGAAGTCAAAAATCGTCGAAGGAAGATTCTTTGTGAAGATATCTACTAGTTGACCGCTGGATGAGATAAATGGAGAACAATTGTTCCCGGAATCGAGCTTCTCCTTGATGAAGTGACTGTCAATCTCTACAAACTTGATACAATCATGTAGGGCTGGATTATGAGCAATGCTAATGGTAGTTTTATTATCACAGAATAATTGTAAAGGAACACAGATCGACATAAATAACTCGCAAAAAATGATGCGCAACTAGAGAGCTTCACATACTCCCAAGGACAGAAAAAAACTCGGTTTTAGCACTGCTACACGCAACCACCTACTGTTTTTTTGTTTTTTCGAGAGATAAGGTTTCCCCACACAAAGGAGCAATAACCCAAGATAGATCGCTAATTATGAATCGAATCCGACCCAATCAGCCTTCGTAAAAACTACAATATAGCAAGAGATGTGACGAGAGAACAACAAACCTGAGCCAGGTGTGCCTTTTAAATAATGGAGGATCCGGAGGATAGCAATGACATGGTGCCCATATGAGTCATGCATGAACTAACTTACAATACCAACAACGTGACAAATGTCGGGGCGCGTATAGGTGAGGGTAACGAGTTTACCCACAATATGTTGGTAGTGTGTCTTGTTCACCGGAACAACATTGGGAACATCTACGAATTTCTCATTGGGATCCATCAGAACAGCAACCGGTTTGTAAAAAAGAAAGTTTGTCTCAGTTAATAGGCCCATCACATATTTGCACTTCGAAAAGCAAATGCCCCGAGAGGACCAAGCAACTTCCATGCCTAATAAATATTGAAGAGACCCCAAGTCCTTCATTTCAAAAGATCCGGTGAGAATGCCATTAAGAGACTCCAAGACTGGCAGGTCATAACATGTGAGCACAAAATCATCGACATTGACTATGAGGATAATAATATGGCCACTAGAAGAAAGTTGAAAGAAAAGAGTATGATCAGATTAGGCCTGAGAAAACCCATGACCCACTACCACCTCGCGAGGGGATTACTTTTAGTCCATAGAGAAACTTTCGCAATCAGCACATGTATACACCGAAAGCAGTAGAGTCAAAAGCCCGAAAGAAGAGACAAATACACCTCTTTTGTAAGATCGTCGTTAAGTAAAGCATTATTTACATCCAGTTGGAGTAAGGGTCAATCCACATTCACAGCAAGAAATAACATAACGCAAATAGTGTCCAATTTAGCAACCGGAATAAATTTCTCTTCGTAGTCAACTCCATAGATTTGTGAGTAGCTTTTGGCGAACAACCACGCTTTGTTGCTTTCAAAGGATCCATCAAAGTTAAATTTGGTGTTGAAATTCCACCAGCAGCCCACAACTTCCTTTCCAAGAGGAAGATCAACAAACATTCCACGTATGGTTTCATCGAGGGCATTCATCTCATCTGTTACTACAACCATCCATGAAGGGTCTGCTAATGCTGCCTCGATAGTTGATGAAAAAAAATGATCCGATAAGGAAGTGGCAAATGCTTTGTAAGTCGGCGATAAGTTGTGGAATGAGACGTATCTTGCCATGAAGTAAACAGAACATGTTTGATTGCATAACTCGATGGTAAAACTCACCTCCTAATTCGAAGCTAGAGCAATCCCCACAAGTTGAGAGAGTGTAGTCCCGGGGATATCAGCCGAAGTATATTCCAAGACTTGCAAGGAGGCAGTGGTCTCAAGAGTAGGAGCATTGGGACGAATCTCAATTGAAGGTTTGATGCGTCAAGTATAGACATGGAAAACGGATGGAGGAGATGTTGTTATGCTTGGTCGCAGATTCAATGAGACTGCGGGTTCCTAA